CCCCAAAACCCCAAAACCCCAAAACCCCAAAACCCCGGGTGGCGAGTTTGATATTGGAATTAATAGTATAATATAAATGCTGAGGAAGGACTTCTTATTTTAGCTTCTTAATCTGAGTTTAGTTCTCTGAGAGTGTAGATTGGCACAGGAACGTAATACTCTCTTCTTCACACACAACTTGGGTGTGATAGTTGGCCTCAAGATCCTTCAGTATATTCATTTTGACTGACTCTACTATGCTCGAGTTTGAAATAGCTATCTTAGTGCTAACAAACTTCTCGAAGCTAGTGTAGAGCTTCTTCAGGAATTTTGTAATTTCCGACTGGCTTGAACTGATTATATCTTTGCTTTTGAAGGTGAAGTTATTGAGCTTACAAACCTCAAATTTTACATTACCTCTTTCGATTCCTGATAAAAATGGGCTCCTTATGAATTTGGATAATGATGATAGAATATTTACTCTATCTATTACAAGCATTTGGAGCTTTGGGAGCTTTCTGATAACTTCGTCTAGCTCCTCTAGCTTAAAACTGCAGCCTTTGATCCATAATTCATCAAAGGTACTGATGATGTCTTCAGCAAAACCTTCTTGCTCTCCAACTAAGAATGAGAAAAGCTTAGGGTTGACAGGTCCATTTCCTTTGATAACTAGCACCTGAGTTTTATGCTGGAGAGATCTTTTCTCTCTAAACTGGCGCTGCAAAACCTTTTGGTCAAACCTTTCAATTCCTTCAACCTTCAAAAGAGTCAAAACCTAGGTAATTAACTTTTCAGTATACCTTATCATCAAAATGCTCCCACTCAAGTTTGATATTTGAAGATTCTTCGATATCTTCAGGAGCAAGATCTTCTTTGATAGATGACAACTCCTTGTTGGAGTGTTCTTCTCCAGTAGATGTATCTGCAATGTTGATAGATTTACCTGGAGTGCTTCTTTGAAATTTCCCTGGAAGTTTTAAGTCTGGATGGGGACCGCTTGAATTGGAAGACTTGATGGGATATCTTCCATTCTTGACAACAGAGTAATCACTTACTGATGATAATTCTTTTGATTCTTCATTTTGTTTATGCTGACCTTCTTTGGAGTCATAAATTTGCCTTTTCCACTCTGCATTCTTGATAAAATCTATATAGTTATTTTTGAAATTTTACCGTTCAAAGTTTCTTGGGTTTTCTCTAAAACATTGCCAGGAGAATTCGTTTCAGCATACGAACCAATTACTTCAGCTGCTTTATGCAAAGCTACAACTGTACGTTCCCTCAAATCAGCTTTATTCATTTCAGATTGGACAATAAGATCATCAAGACTATTCGTCTCAGGATTTGAACAACTTTTTGATCTTCTTCTCGTAGGAGTATGAAGGTCACTACAAATAATAAGGTAAGCTTACTCTGAGTCAGTAGTTGGGTTACGGTTAGAAGTTTCTTGAGCACCGACATTAAAATTACCAGTGAAAGAACCCTCGAACTTAAATCTGCGAGATCTTTTTCTGAACTCAAGCAATACATCAGTTTGGTTTTCAGGAATGATATAAGTTCCTCTCATGGCCCTCCTGACAGAGTATTCTCTGTTTTTATGGTCTTTCCTTTTCGAATGGTAATGCTTGGCCATTCTGTCGTTGGTCCTTCTCTTAAATCTTCTAGGGCTAAATTTTCCATGAAGCTCGTCATGCAATTCCTTTTTCATTTCCTGCAATCCTTTTCTACCGGAGCTTTGGTAATGATTTCTGCTCTCATTCATCCCTTTCTTCTTTTGAGTAAGGTATTTATGTTCCATTTTAACTTAATTATGATAATTCTCAATCTCGGTGAACACAACGGGGTTTTGGGGTTTTGGGGTTTTGGGGTTTTGGGGTTTTGGGGTTTTGGGGTTTTGGGG